ATGATGCTGTCAAGGTGATGCATGCCATTTGCCAGCAAATATGGAAAACACAAGAATGGCCATCAGACTGGAAAAAATCAACTTATATCCCCATACCAAAAAAGGGCAATGCAAAAGACTGCTCAAACTTCCGTACAGTGGCCCTTATTTCTCATGCCAGTAAGGTAATCTCAAGATCCTGCAAGGAAGACTCCAGCAATACATGGAGCGAGAGTTGCCAGATGTTCAAGCTGGGTTTAGAAAAGGCAGAGGAACGAGAGACCATATTGCCAATATCCGCTGGATAATGGAGAAAGGCAGGGAGTTTCAGAAAAACATCTATTTCTGCTTCATTGACTATTCTAAAGCCTTTGACTGTGTGGATCATAATAAATTGTGGCAAGTTCTTGGTGGGATGGGCATCCCAAGCCACCTTGTCTCTCTCCTGAGGAATCTGTACAAGGACCAAGTAGCAACAGCCAGAACTGACCACGGAACAACAGACTGGTTCAAGATTGGGAAAGGCGTACGGCAAGGCTGCATACTCTCACCCAACCTTTTTAACTTGTATGCAGAACACATCATGCGATGTGCGGGGCTTGATAAATGCAAAGCTGGGGTGAAAATTGCTGGAAGAAACATTAACAACCTCAGATATGCAGATGACACCACTCTGATGGCCGAAAGCGAGGAGGAGCTGAGGAGCCTTCTAATCAAGGTGAAAGAAGAAAGCGCAAAAGCCGGGTTGCAGCTAAACATCAAAAAAACCAAGATTATGGCAACAAGAATGATTGACAACTGGGAAATAGAGGGAGAAAATGTGGAGGCCGTGACAGACTTTGTATTTCTAGGCGCAAAGATTACTGCAGATGCAGACTGTGGCCAGGAAATCAGAAGACGCTTACTTCTTGGGAGGAGAGCAATGTCCAGTCTCGATAAAATAGTAAAGAGTAGAGACATCACACTGGCAACAAGGATCCGCCTAGTCAAAGCTCATGGTACCTGGTACCTACGGATGTGAGAGCTGGACCTTAGGGAAGGCTGAGCGAAGGAAGATAGATGCTTTTGAGCTGTGGTGTTGGAGGAAAGTTCTGAGAGTGCCTTGGACTACGAGAAGATCCAACCAGTCCATCCTCCAGGAAATAAAGCCCGACTGCTCACTGGAGGGAAGGATACTAGAGACAAAGTTGAAGTACTTTGGCCACATCATGAGGAGACAGCAAAGCCTAGAGAAGACAATTATGCTGGGGAAAGTGGAAGGCAAAAGGAAGAGGGGCCGACCTAGGGCAAGATGGATGGATGGCATCCTTGAAGTGACTGGACTGACCTTGAAGGAGCTGGGGGTGGTGACGGCCGACAGGGAGCTCTGGCGTGGGCTGGTCCATGAGGTCACGAAGAGTCGGAGACGACTGAACGAATGAACAACAACAAGTTGTAGCAGGACCAAGTGTGAGTGTGCTGAAGAAAAACCTTATGATGGTAATTATTATGTGCAGCTGGTAATGTAGGTCAAGCAGCAAACTCGGACCACACCCAATAGGGTATAACTGTATGGGTTTTTAGAATACAGTTCTGGAGAGCATTTTCTCTGAGATCTATGCTCAAAGGCTCTGCTCTGAAGAGCAGGTTAGAGAGAAGCCATTATGCTGCTCTAAAGGAGGCTATGGTGGAATAGCTGTTTACTCAAGGTTTATGTTTTGCTCTCTCATTTGACTTAAGATGAAGATGCCTTATTTTGTGTTACTTACAAAGACTGTTCTGGAACAACTGTTCCAGGAGCTCCAGATTTATGTGCTGTGTTTAAATGTTGTGTGCAATCCCATGCTTGGGATTTTGCAGCAGGGGATTTCCTGTTATAATTTGCATTTATAGGGTAAGCCACCTGCCCATTATAGTTAGGATCCCTGGTCCCGCCCCCTTTTTGCCTTTTGGAGGGAAGGGGCCATTTTTCAGTTAGTCACACACAAAGAAGCCAGTCTATAGGACGCAGATCAGCTAGTCCCCTAGGAAAGGCTTCATTCCTCAAAACCTTCCGGGGAAATAGAAATAGCCATCCGGGGATCATCCAAAGGTGATCCGGGGTCCATCCAGCGACCATCCAGGGGTCATCCAGTGACCATCCAGTTCCAGGGAAACAGAAGGAAAAGGTCCCAAAGGCTCTGGCTGAGAGCTCACAGCCTCTCAGCCTCACAGCACCAGAGGGGGAAACAGCCCTGAAGTTTCCACAGGACAGCACTGCAGAACCACAGAATTCCAGCTAAACATCTTCTAGCTTCGTCTGGTAGGTTACTCGGTTTCCAGACGCATTTGGGGATCAGCAGTTTTACCCAGACCAGCGAGGCCTAGGTGATGGGACGGCCTGGGAGAGATTACAAAGGGTTCTTCATGTTAAGATAGTACAGTTAAACCAAGTTAGTGCCAGTCTCTTAAAGACTTGAATAGTAAAGCCTTGAAGTTGTTTGAAGATTTGTTCCTTAATAAAGACTTTTTTGTACCTTTAAAGAACTCTAAAGCCCATTACTTCTGGAAGTCTCTAACAATCTCTCTTCGGGCACCTCGGCTTCCCACTGGGTTTAAAGTGTGTGTTCTATAGAATAAAGACATTTTGTTCGGACCCAGTGGCGACAGAACAAAGACTACATAAGTGTCTTGCACTGTTTGTTTTTGCACGCAACATTGCAAGTTTGTGTTTCATCTCTGCTATTAAGAGTAAAGATTTTTCTGTTCATTTCTACTCTTATCTGTGTGTCTTGTGCATGGGATGTGGCTAAGATCTGCTTGCTGTGCAACAGATTTTTCTAAACATTTCATGTTGGTGACACCCTGTTTTGGACATGCAATGCTTCACAACAGTGATTCAGGTTTACCAGCAAACCGGAGGTTAAACCAACCCCTTGTAAGAGATAAGAATACATATATAAATTGTAATAACGAAATCCATGAGGATACAATGTATCTCATGAAAGCATTTCATTAATATATTAAAAGCATATGTATTAATTATTTCAGATAGACTCAGGGGTTTCCCATCACGTTCGCGTGACACACTTACACACCGCAGCCGATTCTCTGTGTCGTGATACCGTTTGGAAAGCTCTGCTGTAGAGGGTTCACCATCTCACTGACATGGAGCCATCAACCACCATTGCACCAGACGCCAAGCAATGTGCCTGGCCCATGTAAGCAACTATTGCTTCCAGTGCCACTGGCTTTTATTACCTGAAGTGAATACTTTTTAAAACAAATACAGGGAAGAGGTAGAGATAGTTGGATTAGAATAATCCCTGTGGACAACAAGTTAAACATGAGCCAACAATGTCATGTGGCAGCTTAAAAATCCAATGGGATTTGGCCTGTATAAATAAGGAGTATGGTGTCTAGATCTAGGGAAGTCCTGCTACCCCTCTATTCCGCCTTGGTTAGACCACACCTGGAATACTGTGTCCAATTCTGGGCACCACAACTGAAGGGAGATGTTGACAAGCTGGAATGTATCTATAACAGAAGCTACCATAAGAACCGCTGCCATGAATAATTACTCGTCAGTTTCTTTCTGATATCTCCAATGCAATTTAGGTCGTGCGAAGTCATTTATGTGTACATATGTATGAACTTGAGACAGGACTCCCTGAAAAGGGGAAGGACTTCAGTTCGTTAGTCATAGCCCTTGTGTTCCCCATTACGATGTCAGGAGCAGAATGTAAAATAGATAAACATTGGTGGTAACATTTGCCAGAACACTTGGAGCCTAACATCAACTGTTAACACAACTTGCAGTGTTAAATACTTACTAGGAATATTGCAAAAATGCAATTTAAATAATTATGTTCTGAGCTGATTTTGTATCCCTACTGGAGAGGAAGAAGCCGAACTGTACATTGTACCCAATGGTAATAAACATTAGAATGGTCCCCTCCTTTTCTTCCCTCAAAAAATCATCTTGTGCTCTTAAAAAATGATGCTTTCAATATTTTTAAATCTTAAATATTATCCCCACATCTCCAACATGCTCACGTCATAAAATCATAGAATTAGAAAACTCGTGGGCAATCCAATCCAACCCCCTGCAAAGAAGCAGGAAAACCACATTCAAAGCACTCCCAACAGATAGCCATTTAACTTCTGTTTAAGTCTCCAAAGGAGCCTCCACCACATTCCGGGGCAAAGAGAGTTCTACTGCTGAACAGCTCTCACAGGGAGGAAGTTCTTTTCTGCCTGTGAGAGCAGGCAGAAACTCCTTTCCTGTAGTTTGAAGCCACTGTTCTTCGTCCTAGTCTCCAAGGCAACATAAAACAAGCTTGCTCCCTCCTCCCTGACTGTCCCTTACATATTTATATATGACCCTCATCATGTCTCCTTCTCATCCTTCTCCAGGCTAAACATGCCCAACTCCTTAAGCCACTCCTCATAGGGCTTGTTCTCCAGAACAAATCATTTTAGTCGCCCTCTGCTTGACACTTTCCAGCTTGTCAACATCTCGCTTAAATTGCGGTGCCCAGAATTGGACACAGTATTCCCGGTGTGGTCTCACCAAGGCAGAATAGAGGAGTAGCATGACTTCCCTGGATCTACGCATGTCCCTGTAGACCCAGTGGTTCTTAATTTGTGGGTCCCTAGATGTTTTGGCCTTTCCTTTCCAGTAATCCTAACAACTGGTAAACTGGCTGGGATTTCTGGGAATTGTAGGCCAAAACACCTGGGGACCCACAGGTTAAGAACCACTGCTGTAGACTCTTCCAGAATGCATTACAAGAATATTGTCAGTGTATGTGTGTGTGTGTGTGCATGTGTGTGGAGGGGGAGGGGGGAGGGAATCAAATGCATGCTCCAAATTATGACTAACTTTGTTTTTCAAAGCTCAAAGAAATTGGTACCGCCTCACTTTCAGTGAACAGGATGATAAACACTGAAGCACCCAAGGAATCCGGTAAAACAAAGGGCAGCTAAAACTGCAAGCTGCTATTTTACAGCATACTGCCTTTTCGAGGTGAGAGAATGAAAATATGCTCATCGTTCATAAATATATATAAAAAACTTCTTTATTTGGCTTTTGCATATTGGAAACGTAAATACAGTTTGCACATAATGACGATGCTAATCTTACGTCCTACACTGAATAATCTTTTATTACAACATGTAGCATTTCTCAGTTCTGCCGATTGCGTACAAAGTGCCTATTTAACTTCAGTTCATTAAGTCATGAGCATGGTAACAGAACATGTATCTGAAATGTTTGCTAGTAGCAAAAAGAGATATAAGAGCATGACATGTTGATGGAGCATCCCACTGAGGGTGCATCTACACTAGAATTCATGCACTTTGACACCTCTCTTACTGCCATGGAATCATAGGTGTTTTGCAAGGCCTTTCGGTAAAGGTAAAGGTTTTCCCCTGACATTAAGTCCAGTTGTGTCCAACTCTGGAGGTTGGTGCTCATCTCCATTTCTAAGCCGAAGATTCGACATTGTCCGTAGACACCTCCAAGGTCATGTGGCCAGCATGACTGCATGGAGCGCCGTTACCGTCTCGCCAGAGCGGTATCTATTGATCTACTCACATTGGTGAGAGGCCTTTAGTCCTCTCACCAAAAGACTACAACTACTAGGGTTCCATAGCATTGAGTCATGGCAGTTAAAGTGTTGTCAAACTGCATTTAATTTTACAGTGTAGATACACCCTGAGTCTTCCTAGCCAGCAATACCCTGATAAATTTCAACTGCTTAATTGAATCCCATTTGCTACAGGATTTCACATCACATCACATTTCTATCCCTTTCCTTCATTCTTCCCTCCGCAACCAATTTACAGATGGAGGTAGACAAGAAAGACCTAACGAAATTTGCCTTGTCGTTTAGGAAGGCAGGCAGGAGGAAATACATCTCCAGGTGTTCATTTCTTTGACTTCTACCAGATCTGCTTGCCTCAGTTCTGAATACAAACAACTGAAGAAGAGAGATGCTAACTTCCCGTTGTTTCGATTATTAAGAAACTCTTCCACCGCACGGTCCACATTGTACTTGTGCATCCCTTTCACATCACCAGAGACACACAGAAGAGGAACGGGCTTTCCCTAAATTTGTAAGGCAAGAGAAAGAGCTAGACTTCCCATTTTGTACCATACGCCAGGAAATACAGGCTTGCATAAATGTTGTCAGATTTTAAAAAGATGGATTTTATTAAGCACGAAACAGCTGTCGGTACATTACCCATACAAAATAACCCAAGTGTAGTGAATTTCAAAGATCTAATGGGCAGATCCGATGTACATTGGCACAATAAAAAGACTATTTAAAAGGTAATACAGAGTAAAATAGGGCCACCACTGTCCATACAACAGCCTAAAAATACTACATCATCTGAGAGAAGATTGCCATTGTTGTATCGAATCCATATGTATTAGCACCATTCAAAGCTTACATCCGTTGCTGAGGCAAAGAAGTACCTGACAGACCAAGGCAAAGCTTTAAAGCAAAGGTTCAGTGCAACATTACCATTTCCTTCTAATAATATTTGTAGTCTATGGTTTCATTGCATGTTAAATAATTATGGTTTGGTAGAAATACACGGTTATGATGTAAAATTAGGTTTGCTCCAAGAAGAATGATATTTTATAACAGCTGTGGAAATGCATTTTAATATACTATGGCAGGCGTAGAATGCAGATGACATGCTGGGCTACAAATGGGCATCTTATGAGCAGAAACTATTAACTCTCTGTTGTACAGACTTCTGTTTGTCTCAGCTGCTGTTTTTTCAGACAAACTAGTTTGATCTTCTCTCTGATGTGTTCGGCTGTAGAGGCCATATCGCTTGGGCTCCCAAAATACTGCTCAGTACTAAAAACAAAGGGGGAAAAAGGTATGGGTTTATGATAGTAATGAGTTGCTGTGCATATACATTCATCTTCTCATACAAAAATATAAAGTTAGCACACAATATTTTTCAACCACACCTGGCTAATCTCATTTTGGAAGAGTTTCCCAGACCTCACTGAAAAATTAAGCCTTGCAACTTTGCTACTAAATGTTTGATGGCTCAAATTATCAATTGCTTCTAATGAAAATTGGGTCCCACTTTGAGCTGCCACTCATTTTGGGATAAAAGCGGCAAATAGATAATATAAATAAATACAAAATAAACAAAATAAAATGGGTTTAACTGTGTTTCTTCACCCAATTATACAATATGCAGCAACTGATTGATCTTTTGAAGGAACAGAAAGAAGGTGTTTGAAAACAGTAAGGTTACTAATTTTGATTTTTTTAAAAATTGTTTAAAGCTGGAGTACACAAGACATCCAACATAAATGGGCCAGCAGAACACTGGATAAGCAAAAATGTTGGCTAATAAGGAGGGATTAAGGAAAAGCCTATTAAACATCAAATTATGCTATGATTTTACAAATTAAGCACCAAAACATCATGTTTTACAACAAATTGATAGAAAAAGCAGTTCAATACATGGTAATGTTATGTAGTTTACTGTATTTACGAATTTAGTACCAAAAAATCACAATGTATTGAAATAGCTGTGGATCCGGGCGGGAGGCAGACTGCGTTGGATAATACAGAATGTTGGATGAGCGAAGGTTGGATAAGACTCCACTGCATTTCAATTTGCTTAGTTTGCTTTTCACACTGAGCTTTAAAAGGATCATAATCTCAATTCAAGCTACATACCCGTCAGGATAAACTACAGGCACCGTTAATCTGTCCAGAAGCGATTTTCCAACAGATTCAATCTCATCAAATTGTTCCATGTCATTTATGGATTCAGGTTGATCCGGGCATTCTTGCAAAACCTGTTTTTTTTTTTTCAAAAAAAGGAATTAAGGAAAATAAATTAAATGAAACCAGATTTTTTAAAGGAGAGGAACAATCCTTTATTTGCTACTCATCTTGATGTTTTCCCCAGAATTTCTCAACGCAGGTTAGCAAAACAGCTGAGGGCTTGTGATACAGGAATGTGGATTTGTGGGTGCCTAGCATTGTCAAAATCTGATAATCTGTGGTCAACTGGGCTCTCATCTTGTTTTGCTATACAAAGAATCACAGCCAGAAGCAGTGGCAAAGATTTTTTAAAAAACCAATTGTGTCATCAGGCAAACTGAAGTCCCCTGTGGCAAAATGGGTGAAACCCTTGTGCCGGCAGGACTGCTGACTGAAAGGCTGGCGGTTCGAATCTGGGAAGTGGGGTGAGCTCCCATCTGTCAGCTCCAGCTTCTCATGCGGGGACAGGATGGTAACACATCCGACCATCCCCTGGGCAATGTCCTTGCAGACGGCCAATTTTCTTACACCAGAAGCAACTTGCAGTTTCTCAAGTTGCTCCTGACACACACACACACACACACACACACAAAACCCCCAGCAAATCCAGGCAAACTTGGGAGCCTTTTTGAAATAAGTAAATATATACATACATCAGCAGATTTCATATGTTGAGTCATACTCAGTTTTGGCTTATCTGTATAGACTATCTAGAAATCCTGCAATCAATCCTGCAGTGGCACAGTATGTGCAATAGCTTCTTTGTATCATCAGCATATTAAAGAAGATAATTTTGCTTTATGTCGCTTAGTTCAGATTATTTCATTTTGGGGAGGGGGGAGGGTTGCACTCCCTTTCATTGGAGTAGCTACAACCATCCACTAGACCACTGGTTCTCAACCTGTGGGTCCCCAGGTGTTTTGGCCTACAACTCCCAGAAATCCCAGTCAGTTTACCAGCTATTAAGATTTCTGGGAGTTGAAGGCCAAAACATCTGGGGACCCACAAGTTGAGAACCACTGCACTAGACAATCTGATTTTTACACTATGTTCAAACCAAGACAGCGTTCACAGTGGACATTCACAGTGTTGGAAACCCATCAAAGTCTAAGACTGAATTTCAAAAATACTACCTGGTCTATGTTTTGCAGAACCATTTCAAAGTTTACCTAATTATGTTTAATAAAATGGTAGATTAATGGAAACGGGATCTTGATTCTGTGCACAGTGCTATTCAAGTAATGTGGTTCATTTCCAGGGAATGAAATAACAAGTATTGACTCAATCCAAGCATACCTTTCTATATGCATGACACTTGGGTGCAACGGGGTAAATTTGGAGCAACACATTCATTTAACTCAATTACAGCCAGTAATTGTGCACTCTATTTTTCCACTGAATTACTTAAACATACAATTTCACTATCTTATTTCCTGCACTAGATTATGGTCAGAGACTGTTGGGACATTGAGCCTCTTTCATGAAGTTTTATTTTTTTCAGTGCCATACATAACAAAGTTACAGCAAAGACACCGCAACTCCTGATTGAACGGATATAGTCATGGGACACTGTAAGCACATGACAAATGCTTTGCAGAAACGGTGCCTAATTCACAAGAGGCAACCAGACAAGATGAAGTAAGGAAGAGGAATCTACTCCAAAATGTAAATTCACCTTCAATCTTTCATTACAAACCATACTAATTTACATGCTCTTAGTAGCTCCCTCTCCCTTACATCCCCCTAAATGTATTTAAAGTTAGGACACTAATAATTACAGTGTGATGATTTGTACTAAAATATTATTCATGCCATGGATCAGAATGTTTTGAAACAAATACAATAAACCACCGCTTAGATATGTTACGCCAAAAAGCCTACTGAAGTTTTTGGAATTAATATCCGTTAATATTCATGGCCTTGATAGCGGGTATTAATATATTCATAGCAGAATGTGGAACAACTAACTTTTTCAGCATTTGAATGGAATGCAACAGCCATCTCCAACCGAGTTACTCTCTCTTCTGAAGTTATGGTGAACTGCTTCCATACTCTGTTCAGCTTTGGAAGTGTGTCTCCTGAGGACCTAGATGTACATCTCAGAGACTGACACAGAACGACAGTAGCCTGTAGTAACTGTCTCCCATAATCATAAGTACTCTACAAAAAAAGAAAGAAAGGAGATGTAAAATTTGAATTTCAAATCCTAGAAGAGGCTCTAACGACAATACAGTGACACATCTGAAGAAATGAAATCGAAAACACAAATCACAAAGCATTATTGAACTTTTTAAGACTATTAAAATGCCAGATTGCTTCTATAAGCTTTTTTGAAGCATGAAGGCTGCCTGTAATAGCTAAGCATTATGAAACTCAAGAAGGGGGGAGGAAGGGAAGGAAAGGTTTCAGCTTTGGTTTTTGAGATCAGTGCCTGAAATAAAGTGGTGGTTATTTATTTATTTATCTATTTACCACATTTGTATACTGCTCTTTCTCAGCCGGAGGCAACTCAAGGTGGTTCACAATCAGCAGCAATTAGATGCCGTTACAAATATCAATTACAGTTAAAACAATTAGAAAAACAATTCAACATTTAAAATGTAACATAAAAAGCAAATACATCTGTAAAAACAAAATCCATGATGTCTCCTTACTAAAAGGGTTATCCAATTGCATGGTCAATCATTCTGTATATTCGCTTACGTCTAATTATGCTCCAGTAGGAAAAGCTTGCTCCATGTCTTAACCATTTTGCGGAATGCTAGAAGGGAGGGAGCCGATCTTATATCCCCAGAGAGGATGTTCCATAGCAGAGGGGCCACCACTGAGTAGGCCCTGTCTCTCATCCCCGCCAAACGTATCTGCAAGGAAGGCGGGATCAAGAGCCTCCCCAGACCATCCTAAAGTCCTAGCTGGTTCATAAGGAGACATACGATTGGATAGGTAAGCCGGACCGGAACCGCTTAGGGCTTTATAGGCTCACTTTGAATTGTGCCCGGTAGCAAACTGGCAGCCAGTGGACCTGGCGCAACAGAGGAGTTGTGTGCTCCCTGAGCGCCACTCCCATTAGCAACCTAGCTGCTGCTCGTTGGACCATTTGGAGCTTCCAGACAGTCTTCAAAGGCAACCCCACATAGAGAACATTGCAGTAGTCTATATGGGATGTAACCAGAGCATGGACTACTGTGGCCAAGTCAGACTTCCCAAGGTACGGGCGCAGCTGGCGCATAAGTTTTAGTTGTGCAAATGCTCTCTCCTGTCCTTGAGGTATCCCCAAGGACAGTATTCTCATAAAGTAAGCTTACCAGATCGATCCATAATTTCTAGTAATTCACAAATAGTCTTAATGACATTGATTTTAAATACAGACCTCAGTTGCCTTGAGTGACTGCATTATAACTAAACTACATAGGAGGGAAACATATTACATACCTGTGCCACATCAACAAACTTTCGATGTTTTTCCAACAAAATTTTGGTTTCTTGTGCATCATCTCCCAGTCGGATATGAGTTTTCAGTAATGCCTCTAATAATTCACTTAACCATTCTACTGCCTAAGATGAGAACAGAAACAGAATGTAACACAGGCAACATTTAAACCAGTGAAATCCATTTCAGATGTACTGGATGAAGCTCTTATTTGCACTTTCTCAGCCTTGCATCAGAGGCCCGGCATATGTTAGAGCTCACCTGAGCTGCATCCTCTTCACATTTAAATAGCTGTACCATCTGAAGCATCTTTAGCCGCCTCACATCTACCATGTCCTCACATCTGCAAAAGCCAGAGCAACATAAAAGCCTATCAGCAAGACCACTGCATGAGATTTTGGTGTAGCAGATCCTTACAGGAATAATTCTTGTTTGCTTTGTGTGTCACAAAAATATTATTATGTAGTCTGCTAAAAATATATTTATTTACAGTACTTATATTCTGCCCTTCTCACCCTGAAGGGGACTCAGGGCGGATCACAGAACACATATACGGTAAATATTCAATGCCGATTATACAATGACAAGATAGACAACACATAGAGGTGTATATATAGGCTTTTTCTCATCATTCGGCATCTTTGGAGGCTGTGCATGGTTCCGGACACAGGGGGGTGGTGTCGCTCCATCTCCTTGCTGAAGAGCTTTCTTTGTTCATAAACTATTCCTCCAAACCCCGTGCCTAAAATACTTCCCTGCTTAATGTGGTTCCTACTAATCTACTCATATTGCTGTTTTCGATCCACTAGGTGGGTGTGGGATTGGGCTGAAGGTCAGGAGTTTACCCTGATCTGATTTCAAACTGTCTACCTTTTGGTTGACAAGATTTACTGCACCTGCAGCTGGTGATTAACCTGCTGTGCTAAAGCTGGCCTTCAGAAATAGGTAATAAAATGTTGATGAATACCTAAACTTTTCTTCATTAATACAATACTTTCAACTTCATTGCATTTCCCCCATAATCAATGTACATTATACACATACATGAACTGTTCTTGTATTCTGTATTTATAGTTTATGGCTTATGGTTAAATATATTTTGGCTTATGGTTAAACACAGATTATTGCTGACATGTCTTCATGTGGTTTTCAATTTATGGAGACCATAAGGTGAATGCATCATGCGTTTTCTGGGGCTGAGAATGGGTGACTCGCCTGAGGTCACATAGTTGGTTTCCATAGCAGAGTGGGGAATCAAATCCTGGTATCCAGAATTGTAGTCCTACGGGCCAATTAACACTACAGACTTACAGTACATTTCTTCCACTGTTAACATCCATGTTTCCAGCTTATGGGATCATTGGATTTGGCATTTTGGGGAGGGAGAGGTTTCTAAAACCATCAACCAGAGAATTCTCCTCTGTTGCAAATTTCAAAGCAGGCAGTCATGGTAGTGACTCATAACATTATAATTCTGTACTGCGAATGGGCCCTACATTCCTTAACATTTGTTTTGAACATTGCTAGATGACAACATCATTGCATGGTTATACTCCAGGCTCCTCTCCTCTCAGCTGTCAAAACAGATTGAGCAAAAGTTCCCATGTTTCCATATAATGCAGAACTCTGGTTAGTTGAAAATCAAAAATCAGTGTTCCCAAACAAGCAACACCCATCTGATACAAACATTCAAAGGACTTGCAAGACTAGTTTTCATTCACCTTCTTGTCATATATCTAAGGGTTTTTTTTTCCACAGTAGCATGCAGCTGGTCTTCTATAGCATGGATTTTCCAGCCTCAGATTTAAGCATTCATGGCTTGAATTTCCCCCCAAAAGATTCCAAAAAGTAAACCCTGATCTTGTAATTGTATATAAGGAGCACCATATACAAAGTGCTAATGTATAAAAATGAGACGTGAACGTCCATGGATTTTGGTGTCTGTGGGGGTCCTGGAACCAAACCTGAGCAGACATCAAGGGCTCACTGTATATGCAATTAATTCAGAAATAAGGGTAACTATATTTTGTGATTAACTTATTCTGTTTGGGATTGATCATGAGATCCATGTTGCGATACTACTTGGCACATGATATCTTCATATTATTTTCAAAAAATAATATTAAAAATTGCTGAAATATCAGATGCATCAAGTGAGTGGCATAATTTTAATTACAAAGAATTAAACTCATGGCATAGAATTAAACTACAATGGCATCAAGACTGTTTTTTAAATGAATTGATACACAGAAATAAAGCGCCACAGCAACTACCTTTGCTTCCTGAGCTGCATGTCGTCCATCACTCCTTGGATGTGATCAACATTCTCTTTGTTTTCAGTGGTTACGTCTTTTCCGTAAGCCCAAGATGCCTGATTAGATATTTGATCAAGAAGATTCTGACCCTTTTCACGCAAACCTTGCAGACCCAAGTCTAGGGTACAATAAACCAAATGCTTAATTTGCCACAACGTGCCATATTTCATGACATATATCGTAACTGTAGGAGTCGTATTCATTTTTAGGCCCCCCAAATGGTACATTTCCTTTAATCACATAATAGTTGCACACTTCATTCACTCAGTCGTGCCCCTGTGGAAAGGAAAGAGGGTGAGCATGCAGGTGAGTCACTCCTTGAAAAGGAAAAGGAAAGAAACGGGGTAGGTGCACAGGAGAGTGACGCACACATTCCTATCCCCTTTCATTTCCTTTCTTTGGAGTGACTTGCTCATGCACGTGTATGACCCCTTTTCTTTTCAAAGTGGCAGGTGTGTAGGTGAGTGAAATTTCATTTGCACACCTGTTCACCCCCTTTACTTGGCTGCTGTGTGGGTGAAGTCCCATAGCGGATTTTTTTCACCACCTAATAGTTGCATCCCCCTTTAAGACAAAAGAAAAGAAAAGAAAAAAAAGAGAGATAAAAATGCAACTATTATGTGATGAAATACAGTACACCTATTTATTTACTGTGAAAAAAATGACACATTATTCTTTGTGGCAGTCTTCTTTTCAGCCACACCCACGTTACTTGTAGCAATCTTTTTTATTAAAATTAACTTCCTTGAATACTCTAGCAGTCAATTGCAGTGAAAAAGTAATTAAGGTTATATTTACATAAGCACAAACACAAAATCCAGACCAGCAATTCTCATACTTGAGCTTCCAGGTGCTTTGGACTACAATTCCCAAAAAACACGGGCAGCACAATTACTGGCAAAAGATTCTGGAGGCTGAAGTTCAAAACATTCAGTGGACATTCCACATAGGGAGATATACTGATGTTTCTGGGGTGTACTTTTCTATACAATCATTTCAGCCAATTTATTTATAAAATATACAGTAACACACTGCCGACCCCCAATTTGTGGTTTCACTTACTCCCGCTTGGGGGAAAACTGTCTTTCTAGAAAATTGCTAATTCCTCCAGGGAATTCTATGCCGTGCTTCCCCTGGATGTTACCACAGACCCACCCTGGAGGACCTAGCAAATTCCAAGGGATAATAACGTACCTCTCTAGAAATTTTTAGGTCTTCCAGGCTTATAGTACCAGAAGTTAGGTATGGATACGAAGTTCTTACTGTACTTCTTCTGAAAACTTAAAGCGATCTATTGACTTGAAACTACAGGGTTTAATGTATGCAATTGCTATACACAGAGGAAAAAAGTGTCCATCAGAAAAATCAGAGTAGGCTTTAAAATGTACTCTTTCTAATTAAAACACATTCATAGTAATATAGATTTTGGCATTTTAATAATATTAGTCTTACCAACACTTTTTAACTTTTCTTCAAGTAGTTTTAAAGTTTGCTGAATAGATGCTCCATCGGCAGGAGCAACATCAACACACAACATCCCAAGTAAACCATCTAGCTGTTGAGATAACTGGAAAAAAATCACAACCCAAAATAGATTGTTAGTTCTGGCCCCAATATTATCGTGTAAAAATAGCAGGATCAGTAGTGGTGAAGTTATCTACAAAATAAGGCTAGGTGTTCCTAAAATGTCTAGGTGTCTTGAAGCAAATGGGAAACACGATTTTTGTTTCAAAAGTTTAGCAACATTTTTATATATATATAACACTTACTGATCAAGACTAAGATTATTTTGCTGATTATTATGGGATCTATAATTTATTTATAACATCATTTGGACATAAAGTTGTTTTATTTGGCTGTTTTTGACAGTTAAAGAGCAAGCCTACAGGCATTTGCTCAGGAATGAGTCCTACTCAATTAGTGGATTTCACTTCCATGGAAATCTGTACAGGACTACACCTTAGTTTTGCACAAGCAAGAATGAATGTAAATATACTCAGAAGATTATAAAAGCACACAAGATAACTGTATGCTGTATCCTGTGCAAAAGGTCTGAAAGGAGAGTGGGAAAAAAAAGATCACAAGGGAGCTTAAAAGTCAGAAGACAGATGGTCATTGCTTAAATTTCCAAATAAATTCAAAAGTAATCAAAAAAGGCAAGCAACAAAGCTCCTCTTACAAAAAAGGTAGAACTCTCTATGTGTGCAAATACATTGGATTTGAAAGTTACATACATTTATAGAATCATAGAATCATTGAGTTGGAAGAGCCTCGTGGGCCATCCAGTCCAACCCCCTGCCAAGAAGCAGGAAAATTGCTTCAAACCACCCCCGACAGATGACCACCCAGCCTCTGTTTAAAAGCTTCCAAAGAAGGAGCCTCCTCCACACTCCAGGGCAGAGAGTTCCATTGCTGAACAGTTCTCACCGTTAGGAAGTTCTTCCTAATGTTCAGGTGGAATCTCCTTTCCTGTAGTTCAAAGCCATTGTTCTGCATCCTAGTCTCTAGCGCATCAGAAAACAAGCCTGCTCCCTCCTCCCTATGACTTCCCCTATTTATACATGGTCATCATGTCTCCTCTCAGCCTTCTCTTCTTTAAGCTGCTCCTCCCAGGGCTTGTTCTCCAGACCCTTGATCATTTTAGTCGGACATTCCAGCTTGTGTGGGTCTGACCAAGGAAGAATACAGGGGTAGCATGACTTCCTTCTGTCTCGGTACTAGACTCCTATTTATGTCAGCCAAAATCCCATTGGCTTTTTTTTGCCACCGAATGACATTGTTGGCTCATGTTTAATTTGTTTTTCAGATGTACTGCTGTCGAGCCCCATTCTGTATCTTTGCATTTCTACCTAAGTGGAGGATCTTGCATTTGTCCTTGTTGAACTTCATGTTATCATTTATTTATTTATTTATTTACAACATTTCTGCCCCGTCCTTCTCAACACCCGAGGGGGCACTCAGAGCGGATAACATTGGCAACAATTCGATGCCGCAATAACATAATACAACAACAATATAAATTGTTAGCTTTGGCCCATCTCTCTAATACATTAAAACTGTTTTGAATTCTCCTCCTGTCTTCTGGGGTATTAGCTATCCCTCCCAATTTGGTGTCGCCTGCAAACTTGATGATCATGCCTTCTAATCCTTCATCTAAGTCATTAATAAAGATGCTAAATAGGACAGGGCCCGGGACACAGTTTTTCACTCCCATCAAACAACAATAATGGGACGGCTGCCGAAGAAACAAGGGCTTTCGGGTAAAAATAAATATTTTTAAGGAAAAAGTAAAAATCCCAGAAAGCTGTTAAAAGTAACATACTTTCTTTTAAACATATAAAAATTATCTCTCTTGTGTGCTACATTTTCTGTTTTGCTGAAATGCTACATTCATAGGAACAAGTTTACAGAGAGATTTTTTATACTTCCTCGAAAATGGATTGGCATTGTTTATAGTCTTTGTTTATTCTTGGTAAACAGAATCTGGTTGACCATCTGTAGCAGTAATTACAAAGCAACAGTCTGCCTTGGCCATGAGTAAACATACATATATATATATTACTCACATCTTGGGCTACACCATGGAAGTCAAGTGCTGCTTGTAAAAGATTCTGCCTAAACTCCAGCTGACTGGCTTGCCGGTAGCAGACATCACTCAGTTGTTGTTGCAACCCTTTCAGTTCGACGAGGTCTTCTTCATCCCCAGCATTGAGCAAAGCTGCAATTTGTTGATTAAGTTCCACATATACAGCAAACCACTCCTGAAAAACCAGACCAGCAAGAAGTACATTGTCAGTATTAACAATTTGCCATGTTCTTTTCAAAGCAGCACACATTAACCAACTCATGTTCTCACTCATTTGTGAAGGCTTTGGCAATCTCCCAAGACATCACCATTTATGAAGTGTATTTTAATGCATGGACATGGGCTGATAGTCAAAGGTTAGGGCTCTTTTTAAGACCCCCAAACCACAAAACCTTCAGAACTCCACTCTTCTGTTAAAACAAAAAACCAAAAAACAACTATTTAACCTGAGACTGAAACTTTAGACTTAGGGTAAAGTAACCATAGATTTGACAGAATACATCCTCTCACAGAACTTCCTAGATCCTCCTGGTGATTCTACGGTCTGCTGCCACCAGAAGCTACTATAGAATTGTCCTGGAGGAGCTAGAAAATTCCTAGAGAAGCATCTTATGTAGGAATTTGCTAGGTCTTTAAAGGTGACTCTATGGTAACTTCTAGTAGAAGATAATAATTTCAGTAGTGTTCGCTGTTCGCTATTGTCCTGTTTTCACTTCCCACGGTCAGTTCAATAACTATCCCTTGCAGATACAAGGTCATATTGTACTATGCAAATAGTCTTGATAATGTTGAAGAAATACTGAACTATAAAATAAAAGTATATAAATCCAACACCTTAATGAAATAGGAAGCCATGTCTTTCTATTTCATTTGAGAATTGTTATTTCACTGCTTCCTTGCATACTATCGTACTATATTTTCAACTCTTGTTATCTCTTGTTATATGTAGTCTCATATTTCAATGACAATGTTTTTAGGGAAAGGTCTGTTTTATTCACATACTATTAAGCACAGTATGAACACACTCATTTAACTGAAATTCTTAGACAGTAAGTAGCGGTATCATCTTTTAAAATAGGAATAATGACTCAGGTCTTTAAGAATGGTGTAAATCTTGGTGAAAGGGAAGGAAATGACTCAATGTTAAATGAATATTTAAGCTATTTGCCATGCCAGTGGAGTAATTTGCTTGCAATAAAGTCTGGATCCTTTTTAGTAAACACAGTTAAAAATAATTAGCTTGTAAATCAATGAGACAGCAGATTAAAGAAACACTTGAGTTATTTAAAAAGCTTTTATGTATATAAGGCAGTAACTTCTAATTGCTGCCGTGCACAGCCTTTGGTGTCAATTTCTCTACCTCAGAGGCAAGAGACATATTGGACGATCTTCTCTTAACGTTTTATTTACTAAGGAGATCTTTCTAAATGAATAAAAATTCATCCATCCAGAGAGCCTTTGGTTCTTTTAAAATTTTATAAATTCATAATATAAAGGTTATTGGCTGAACTATATGTTCCTTCAAACTTTCTTCTCACAGATAGATCCCAGATGAGATCCTACTATTATGGCCCACTTCTAGACTTAAATATCCAAACGATCTCCTGCCACTTCAATGGTTCTTTCCTATAGATATGGCCATTCTGTGAAAACTGTGAAATACAATTCCCAATATGCTTGATCAAATGTTTGAGTTTCTTGTTATACCAAGAACAAGCATATCAAGATCAGCTCAAGATTGTGTCTATGCTTTAGAGTTGTTGCAGCTTCATGTCACTTGAAAAGTTGTGGCCCATTTTATTTTTAATTTTATAAGGTACTTACAATTATCAACCAAAGAGATCTAGTTTCTTCCTAAACTATAGCACTAGAGTAGCTAAGTACCTCAACAAATGACAAACCCCAGGATTGTGCAAGAAGAAGCCATGACCATTAAGTGACCATTAACTGCTGGAATTCTGTGGGTCAATACACTCTCTAGTGAAAAGGATGAAAGAGTCAAAATGACTGCTATTAAATATAGGGAATCTATAGAATAGAGACTCTTGGTGACCATCATGGATGACCTCAAACAGGAGATGGATCTGTGCGTGTAGGTTGATTTATTAGTTCGGTTTCCCAAGGCGCAGGATTTCAAGGCAAAAGTAAGCTAGGTGTCTTCTCAAGTTTAGATTTTACTCCAGACCACCACATTTTTTAAAAAAAGATAATAATAATAATCATAATAATAATAATAAACTTGTTATATCCCGCCCCCTCTCCAAAAGGACTCAGGGCATCTTACAACAAAGTTAAATCATAACATATAAATAAGCAAAAGCAGAAAGACAGGACTTAATATATAAGCAACTATCATAAGCAGGTTAAATTAACTCTGCTCTGAGCATTACTGGATCTCCAAAGTTCAAATCAGGCACTCTTTGGAAGTAAGTATTATTGTAATAAACTCAAAAAATACTAAATTCACACACAGAAAAGAGTAAAAATATACAGTTAACATCAGGTAACCAATAGCCAGAAAGCATGAATGTGGAATATTCTATTTACCCAACCATTCCAGAACTGATCTGTACAATGTGGAATCTGTCACATAATATTGTAAGATTTTTTTTTATCGTGAAGTATGTGGTGAAATCAGAGGCAACGAACAGAAGCAACTTTTGGCCACTTTATCAAAAACTGTCAAGCCATAAAAAGTTCAGAAACATGACTGGATTGTATACTATGATGTCAGCTCCTAATTAAGGCTTTTACCCTTCAGCAAGTCCTTCTGAGAGTCACTGAAATCACTACAATATACTAGATCCCTGATATGGACTATTCCAAAAAGCTTTAATGAGTTAGGTTAATACACACACACAGAAAGGATACAAATATCACTGGTTTGAGAGCCAGGGGAGATAATTGTTGCCAATTATCTCTTCTGGGAAGGAGAAGCAAAGTGTTACTAAGGTGTCATTTATCTTGCCATTTTGATGTTTTTTAAAAACAGTTTTATTTATGATTTGTATTTGTATTTCAAGTTCATTTATGAAGTCGTATCCTTTTCAGTTTACCTATTACTAAACTCTGTAGCCATCAAGACGAAATAAAAGGAAGGCCATAATATATATACCCAAGTGTGCTCTGCTCGATGTGAAAGACTATGCACTCTTGATAATAAAAGACTCAACCCACAAGTCCAACCTCAGCAAGTAGATAGTCCATGGAGACATGAATTATGCTCTCTCCTTATGACTACAATGAAGTAGAATTCTTAAATCCTGAAAATGACAGAATCTTTGGATTCAGGCTATATCTATAAGGTGGATATTGGATATAACACTAAGTCAGGCCTGCATAACCTGTGGACTTCCTGGAATTCTGGACTTCAGCTACCAGAATTCATATAATTGGAAGAGACCTCGTGGGCCATCCAGTCAAACCCCATGCCAAGACGCACGAAATTTGCATTCAAAGTACCCCCAACAATGGGTTGTTGTAGGTTTTTTCGGGCTATATGGCCATGTTCTAGAGGCATTCTCTCCTGAAGTTTCGCCTGCATCTATGGCAAGCATCCTCAGAGGTACCACTACCTCTGAAGATGCTTGCCATAGATGCAGGCGAAACATCAGGAAAGAATGCCTCTAGAACATGGCCATATAGCCTGAAAAACCTACAACAACCCAGTGATTCCAGGCATGAAAGCCTTTGACAATACACCCCCAACAATTCTTGGCCACTGGACAAGCTGACTAGAGCTTCTGAGAGTTGGAGTCCCAAACACCTGGAGGGCCACTGGTTGTGCATACCTGGTTTAAGCTAACTAAAAATGGAGTTACTAGCAAGCTAACACTTTGCTCACACATTCAATAATGAAATGAATAAAGGATTATGCTGATGCACTACTAATTGACTGAGTTGATACACAATCAGATTTTTCATGGCTAATACAGAAGGCAAGCAAACAAGAGAGAGTGAAGACAGCTAGAAGAGAGACAATTTGCTAAGGAAGTTATCTGGTTGTCTTGGTCTTTATAACTAGCTAATTCTTCAAAACCTATGAGTGGCTACTATCACACTTCTTGGTCAGCATGACCCTTGTATTCACTGGGGATACATTCTTGAACTTCATATAGATATGTGAAAGCCTTTTGTTGTTAATGGGACAAGCAACAGACAAACTGATAAGAGGACATAGCTTGTATAGAAAGCTCTAAGACAATAATTAAATTAGTGAAACTATGCATAAGTGAAACCGTATATATTGGTTCCATGAATACGGGGATTGTACCGTATCAGGAATAATTTTCAGGCCCAGATCAATCATTCCAAGAGTTGTGCCTATGTCAGTTGGACAGTAAATCAATTCCAGATTTTGATAAAGGGTTTAAAGAACTCTCTGGGGTGCTGACCTCTGTTCCTAAAAAGGTCTAGCATCGTTGCCAGCCCCTTTGAAATGAACCAGAACCTGGAGTGGATGCACCACCCCACTGACTTAGTCTTCTGTCACCACTAGCGGACAGACAAGTGCAGCAGAATATGGGCCCATCTAGTATGTATGCTATCCCTTCCTTTTTGATTCAGTACATTCTGCCTCATTAAATAGCCTCTGTACTGAGATGGAAAGGAGAAATGATCCATGTCGAATGTCTATCTAAGATATCCATTATATAACGCAATGGTATTTACACTGACGTGCAAAGTATGTTTAAAAGGCAAAACACATCAATGAATATGAAAATAATGGTAGTATGTTTGCACTACATCTCTGGGTTAATGTCAAGCAGAAAGTCCAAATAACGTCAAACAGAAAGCCCAAACAATATTGATGCCGTAGAAATATATTAAGTGATAGTACTAGCAGAGCATGTTACGGTATCAATATACAGAACAGCTAACTTTTGCCCGCATTCACTAACATCATGAAAAATGTACATGTACGTGGAAGAATGTACACACAGGTTATCCATACTGACTGAATGCAATGCCCCACATGTGTGTACATTCATCCATCTGTGTGTACTGTACATTTTTCATAATGCTGGAAAGTGTGACCAAAGGCTGAACTTGTGGGATTTTGTATTTGCATTCAATTCTCATTGTCCCCAGACATAACATAATGCCTTAACTCTCGAAAAACAAAGTATGCCTTTACCAATCATGAAACAACCTGTGCGTTAAGTTTATACGTGATCTTAGCTGAGCATGAAAATAATTCCAATAAGTGTTTTCCAGGGGGAAAATATTGAGAAATCAATGCTCCCTAAATTGTGCTTTGTATCTCGTCAGACATGCAACCATTCTTCTTCTTTTAAACATTACTGCACTGCCACAATGTTAGAATTTAATTAACAATCATTGATATCAGCAACAGTTACTAGACTGGTACAGAAAAATAAGTGCGGTCTTTTATAACTCATAAATCACTGTCTGAAATTCACGAGAAAAATGTCACTGGAAAATGTTGCACGTAATTAATTACATATAAGAACAATCATGCAGGAACTTCCTTGGGAGAATGAGAACTCACACTGTGCTGGCTCTCAATCTCTTCATGCTTCTGCTGCAACGCTTGCGAGGCTCTAATTGAATCCCCTATTCCCCACTGGGTCCGAAGCTGTTCTGAACCAGGTCCTTCAAGCCAGTTTACTACCTGTTAAACAAATAGCAATGTTACCACCACAGCAAATGATTAAGCCAGCTCAATAATCTAGGTAGATTTTTTAAAGGATTGCTTTTATTAAAAATAACCCTTCTTATAAAGTTCATGACATTCATTTTAATAGCAGTTACGTTTCTATCACAAGGAAAACAATAGCAGTAGAAGGTGGTGGTATTTCTACTAGATGCAGCAGCAAGCATCTAGAGAAGTGTTTCTCAACCTAGGGGTCAGGACTCCTGAGGGGGGCAGAGGATGTCAGAAGGGTCACCAAAGACCATCAGTAAACACAGTATTTTTTGTTGGTTATGGGGGTTGTGTGTGGGAAGTTTGGCCCAATTCAATTGGTGGTGGGGTTCAGAATGCTCTTTGATTGTAGGTGAACTATAAATCCCAGCAAGTATAACTCCCAAATGTCAAGAGCTATTTTCCCCAAACTCCACCAGTGTTCACATTTGGGTATATTGAGTATTTGTGCCAAGTCTGGTCCAGATCCATCATTGTTTGAATCCTCGGTGCTCTCTGGATATAGGTGAACTACAACTCCCAAGCTCATGGATAATGCCCACCAAACTCTTCCACTATTTTCCGTTGGTCATAGGAGTTATTTGTGCCAAGTTTGCTTCAATTCCACTGTTGGTGGAATTCAGAATGCTCTTTGATTGTAGGTTAACTTTAAATCCCAGCAACTACAACTCCGAAATGACAAAATCAACCCCCACAACCCCACAAATATTCAAGTTTGGGTATATCGGATATTTGTGCCAAATTTGGTCCAGTGAATGAAACCACATCCTGCATATTAGATATTTATATTACGATTCATAACAGTAGCAAAACTACTGTTATGAAGTAACAATGAAAATAATTTTATGGTTGGGGGTCACCACAACATGAAGAACTATATTAAGAGGTCGCAGCATTAGGATAGTTGAGAACCACTGATCTAGAGGAAATAATAATATTAGTAATAATACTACAAGTCTAAACAGACATTTCCTAATGCTTTTTTTGGGATGTTGCGGGAAGGTGGGGACTGTCTTCCTTTTGAAACTTCACAAGCATTTTTTGAAACTGGAAATCAGAATATCAATCTCTTTCCTACCTGCATTACTAGCTGACAAAATGAAATGCTTTGGGTTTCTAACCAAAAGCTAAGTTGTATTAATACGGAGGAAAACAGCGCTTCACCAAATTAAGTAATGTGTCTCTGCGTATGCTCCACTACTTCATGTTTTTTCATTATAGACTGCCACTTTGTAGGTTATTTAATAGAAGTATTTAACAGCAGGTCTAACAAGTGGGGCTAGATGAATAGTTGTCAGAACTGGCAGCTCACCACAGGAAAATCTGCCATGCAAAACCCCAATGGATTCTCTTGGCTCCACTTATCTGTACGATGATAGAAAATAAGAACTACTAGCTTCACATAAAGTGGGAAGAACAGGCATTTTAGAGGGGAAAAACATGAACAAAAAACAGGACTTTTGATTATATATTGGGGGGAGGGGTAGAGAGGGAGGAATAAAAAAATATTATTGAGCTAATAGCCCAATAATAATTTCAGCCACACATTAAGAGATGCCACAAGCGTAGCAAACTTTTTATCTTTCCTCCTGCCTCCCACTACTGTGGCTTTCTTTGGTGCATTTTTAAAGTTTCCTTGGTTTCCAAAATCAGCAGTAGGTGGAGAAAATGTTAGAAAGGAGAAAGCACCAAGAAGCTGCAATATTGACACATAATTATTATCACTACCTAAATCAGTATGGAAACGGTGCAGCCTGTGGGTCCCAGGATTGATTTTTAACACCAATTGTCTGCCTTTTGCAAAAATCACACTTCCAGAGGTTTTCATGCGCATGACTCTTTTCTAAAATAAAGCACCCCTCTACTTTTAGGGAAAAAAATCCAAAAAGAAATGTAACTTCTAGTTTCATCAGGAAGACCCAAGGCACCCATGGCAAGTTTGTGGGAAATGGCCCTTGCTCCACCTCTGACCTAAATGAAATGAAATGGCTCATTGGGGTGCCTAGTGGCACAATGCGTTAAACCGCTGAGCTGCTGAACTTGCTGCCCAAAAGGTTGACAGTTCGAATCCAGGGAGCAGGGTGAGTTCCTGCTGTTAGCCCCAGCTTCTGCCAACCTAGCAGTTTGAAAACATGCAAATGTGAGTAGATCAAAAGGGACTGCTTCTGGGGGATGGTAATGGCGTTCCATGCAGTCATGCCAGCCACATGACCTAGGAGGGGTCTATGGACAACACCAGCTCTTTGGCTTAGAAATGGAGATGAGCACCACCCCCCAGAGTCGAACACGACTAGACTTAATGGCAGGGGAAACCTTTACCTGGTGGCTCATTTGACACTCATGACATACATGAAGGCAACTCTACGATTCACATTACATTTTCAATCAATACAAGAGAATTACTATTTTTTTTGTACAATTACAAATCACAGAGAATGGAAACATGTCACACAAAATGACCAAATTCATCACCAAACAGCCCGTATTCCCAAACATACTGATATTAGACTGTATCCCAGTGACATCTTTGTTCATTGGCGGTTATTGAATAGGAAATTCTATCAGTCAAACTGCTCTGGATGGATTATCTCACTGAAACTGTTACCACCACCTAATGCTGCAGCTCATGCCATGATATTGGACCCACTCTCATTTCATTCTGTTCATAGGGCGCATCTACATTGTAAAACAAATGCAGTACAATGCCAATTTTAACTGCTGAATGCTATGGAACGATGGGATACCTAGCTTGGCAAACAGTTTGGCAGAGAAGGCTAAAAATCTTGTAAAACGACAACTCCCATGAAGCCATAGCAGTGAAAATTGCATTAATTCTACAGTATAAATGCACCCTCAATTGCCAACTTTTTGAATGCCTGAAGGAAAAATAATTGTGTTAGCCAGGGGCAATTGGCACCATTGATGCTTTCCTCTCTCTGAAGAATGACCCTCTACTTAACCACGGGCTGTATCAAAATGCATACTTTTGGCCTCAAAATCTGCCCCCAACTTATACTTGAAGTTGACTTATATATGGGTATTTACGGTAGTCCTCCTAACCAAAGTGTTCAGCAGGTAATTTCAAAATTGATTACTAAATTTAAAATAACAGAGACAAATGCTGGCTTTCATTGCTTGCCAAAGTTCAATTCATTTACGATGCAGCATCAGTAACATAGACAGACCAAATGGATGACAATATCTAATCAGACTGATGCAAATAGAGGTTGATGGCCCAGTAAACAAGTCTATTTAAATGCATTAATGATGGCAGTTTGCCAAAACTAGGCTGTAAACTTCATTATAAACAGCCCATCTTCCCTCATATCATTTGAATACTCAAGTTATTGCAGAAAAGAGGGCCATGGTTTAAAATGTACATGTATGTAATATGCAATTATCCCCATTTTCAGAGATCTTTTTTTAAGTGAAGTGCATAAAAATATGTTCTGCGCATTTAAAAGTCGAAAGAATTCTTAATTGTCAGATTTTAAAACATCTGCAAAGTAAAATAATTCGGGCTTGATCTGAAAAACTAGTGTTTGAAGGCTAGGTGTTTATATGCAGTCATTCCATTGAATATAGCAAAATATACACACAGATGTACATAATATATACACGTACAGTATGTGAGTGTACACACACATGTAAATGTACATACATCTAATTTCAAATAATAAGCTGAGAGAGGGAAAATAAATTGAATCCATTTCCTCTATTCCCTACTGAGACACTGTCAGCAAAAGTGTTGAAAGCACCAATTACATACTGATTTCTAAAACACCAGCCACATCCCTTGTGACCTTTTAGCACTCACTTCATTACAAGGATTTTTTAAACTATTATTACCATTATGATAATTCATTCTAGTCAGCAGCAATCCTCTATCATAAATGCTGCTTTCTACTTTAATCACTGGATATGCCAGTGTATTTCTATATTTGCTTGTTAGAAAAAAAATCTACTATTTGTGTTCTGCTTGTCTTAAATTGGTGAAACAAATGAACATACTCATGCAAATTCACACACACACACCCCACTTATAAAGCAATCTTTGTTTTTTTCTAGCCTGGGTGAATATTCAAGACTTTATTGGCAGCTATGTTTAGTGTATAAAACATAGCAGAAGTCAATTAATACTGTATTTCTTTGATTCTAAGACTCACTTTCCCTCATATAAATACCTCTAAAAATGGGATGGCCTTAGAATTGTGAAAGCTCTTTCTCTCTCTCTCTCTATATATATATATATCTTTCTTTCATACTGAAATTAATAATAACAATAATAACATTAATAGTTTGACTCGTGATTTTGTGATACGAAATCCAGCATATAGATCTTGTTTCTGTGACATACTGTTCTTTTGTGTCAATAATAATAATAATAATAATAATACTTTATTTCTAGACCACCCTCTCTCTCCGGAAGGCATTCAGGGCGGTTTACACACACAAAAAGGCAAGCATTCAATGCCTCAGGTGAGTACAAACATATCAAAATAATATACAATAAAGCAACAGTAATAACAGTGAGCTTATAATGAAGAATTAAGCAGTGTGATGAAAAATAAAACAAAACAATCCAGTAAGACATAGTTAATTAAAACGTAAGTAAATATTACAACAAATACTCTAAAAAGCAATTTGAAATAAAGTTACATTGAAAATTAGAGTGTGTCTTACAACTGATAGCAACTTAGAATAGAAGAAATAGGGTATTACTATTGGGTTTAATGACACAAGTGATTGAATGCAATTATGACTGTTCTCTGCCATCCCAATTTTCAAAGTTCTCAACTTATATGTAGGCTACGTACCATCCTCCAATATTCCCAGAAGAAGTTGGCCTACTTAGTAAAACGACCGAACAAATTGAAATCTGGCAGTTCAAATGACTAAATAGGACAAGGATATAAATCACAGCTCATAAAAAAGTTCATGGACAGTTCACTCACCCTCTGATTGCCCAATACTTTTCTATCATCAAAGAACTGACAACATCCAACAATGAGGTATTGCTGAATTTGGCAAAGTTGTTGGCTCTTTCAGGGAAGTGAAAGATTTAGCAACTGGAGCATTAGCATGCATCAGTGCACACATCCTCTCCTAGGGAAAACTCCTCTAATAGGAAACCAGAAGTGAATGCAAGGTGCAGAAGAATGCCAACACACATTTGGGTGCCTCCAATCTTAGATCTGTTTCTGGGTATGTTTGACCTGCAGATTCCAAAAATGGCACCAGTTCCCTCCTCTCAGCTCTATTTTGAGGTACATGAGAGGTGCATGCCCATAAGAAATTATGATAACCATATCTAAGAAGCTAGAGCTGATGCAATCTAGCCAAAGCAATTTCCTGAATCAGTGCCCCAAGACTAAATTATTTTACCAGAAATAACTAAAGAAACAAAACACAACCAAGTAAACCTTGGCAACCTACCTGCATTACCTTCTGTTGAATTTCCTCAAGCTGAGTGCGCTTGCTCCGTTGTCGGCATACTTCTTGGTACCGCGTATATTGTTCCCGGAGTGAATCTAGTAACTTCATAACCTGGGGTTGAGCCAGCAATTCATCATCCATGGGAGACCAGGAGACCCCGCCATCCGAACCGTTAAACCGGCGTTGTTGTAATTCAGATAATAATTCATGGCCTTTAAGGATTAAACAAGAGTTATATTATTATAGAAACTTAAATAAGGGTTTAGAAATAAGACTGGGTCCCCCATTAACCTACTGGTGACAGCTGTATGCAAAGGTAAAATAACTTTTCCTAAGTTTTCAGGCCCAAGCTTTACATCTACGGGACTTGTATGGGATCAAGATATGCATCTATGGGACACATTTGCAAATACATGAATGCAAGTATGCCTCAATGAAGGGATAGGATGTTATTATGGGTTAGCTGAAGGAGATGGAGGTTATATACTTTTAGTCTCATAATACTGACAGATTCCCTATGGCCTGCAGTAGGAAGGAAATAACAATTATGGCAACTTTGGAGCCATAGCTTCCCCTGCAGCTGCCACTGGTGTGTAATCAACGATACCAGATACTTAAAGGGAGTGGGGGACCGGGGGGGGGGGGGGGGGGGGGGGGGGGGGGGGTTAGTTTCATTCCAAATTGGTGGGCATGGCTGTTTCCTTGCTTCCATTCATGCTGCAGAAGCACTACTCTTGTCCTACAACCTTGATGATGGCAGTTGGGATTTAATGACAATTGATAAAATAATGACTTGAGCAGATAAAGGCTTGTTGAGTCATCTATAGAGGATTTGCTATGATGTAAGTATTGAAACCCAGAAAGGATATAACATTTGTGAAATTCAATGGTCACTTGGCAAAGCAATAATCATGCACTGTCAATGACATAGGAAAGTGGAACAACTGCAACTCATAGGCCCAGCATCCCAGTCATTTAATAACCAATTCAGGAGGCCATAGCTGATAATATAAAAATGTGAGAAACCAGGAAAAAAAGCAGTCATCCTAATCTACCCACACTATAGCGCATCCCAAAAGATAACCAAGGCAATCTCATTAGCAAAAGCAAGTTTGAAATCAGTGTGGAATTGATCCGGAATATCAACATAAAGTTGGTGCTCCATATTTGCTGGGATTAGGAGCACAGGATCCCTGTGAAAGTGAAGACCATGAATAAAGAAATTGCTATTTTTTTTCCTCTAAGGGAATCCTATTTCTTGGTCTTCCAACATGACTCTATTGTCAACCTCTGCTAGAAGCTGGCCATAAAATCACTTTGGGGGACTTTAAGGAAGTGTTCTTCCTTAAAGTTCCTCCAGTGTAACTCTATGGTCAACTTCCTCTAGCCATGTTAGAGGACTTAGAAATTTCTAGAGAGAAATCTGGTCACTGAACAATCAAATTCACAAAAGTGGAGGGCCAACTGCAGACCAAGAGTGAATGACCACGTCTTTGAGCAGAGCCCAGGTATGAAATATTAGTAACCTGTCTGTATTTCTTTGGGGTGCAAGTTAAACATTTTTAAATGGCTGATACTACCGTCCCCGCCTCCATTCTAGATTACATGGGCATGCCCTTCCTATTACATGTACTAAGTCAAGAGGACCAAAGGTGGAACATACAAAAAGACTAGTCAAGTACACTGCCCATATCATCAAAAATAGGAAATCATCCGGCAGAATCATAGAATTAGAAGAGACCACATGTGCTATCTGGTCCAACCCCCTGCCATGCAGGAAAAGCACAATCAAAGCACCTGTAACAGATGGCCTCCAAAGAAGGAGCTTCCACCAGACTCCGAGATAGAGAGTTCCACTGCTGAACATCTCTTACAGTCAGAAAGTTCAGGTGGAATCCGCTTTCCTGTAATTTGAACCCATTGCTCCGAGTCCCAGTTTCCAGGGCAACAGAAAACAAGCCTGCTCTGCTTTCCCCATGATATCCTTTCAGATATTTAAACATTATGATCATGACTCCTTTCAACCTTCCCTTCTGCAGGCTAAACATATCCAGCTCTTTAAGATGTTCAGTACATTCGAAACTGGGGGTGCTCTGTCAGTTGTCACTAGTAGACACACCCCAACAATGGGATTTCAATTGTAATGGCTGTGATTAACATTACCTCCAATGCAACTTACAAGCTGTTCACAGGGTGGCAGCAAAAGTACAACTAGGTCTCCCTACAGTTGTAACAGGAGCTTCATGTCTAGAAAATGCAATACTGTCAAGATTCAACACAGCTAGGAAAAGATGGTTTTCTCTACCAACACAACGGCCATAGATTAAGTTTGATAGAACACGGTGTTTGATGAAATAGTCTACTCCTACTTCAATTCCAGTCATCCTCCCACTTAAGTAAGCATATCTCCAAGTCTGTATTCCCCATTATCCTTCCCAATTGACTTTTTATAAAACGAGTTTAAATTCTTAATTGCCTTCTTGGCATTCTTAGAGGCTGATTAGCATTTTCAGCAGAATGAGAGGCTGGTACTTTATTTCTGTAGTCACTGTTCCCAGAAATGAGAGAAGACCAAATGGGTTGTATAGAAACATGATATTCAAGATCGCGAGGAATAAATTCAAAGGATGCACTTTTAATTATAATTGAGTGATTGAGTATGAGTACTTTAGTTAATTGACAGACATAAGCCATTAACATTATGTCCACATTCTTACTAATTCATAAAAAAAATCAATAAATCTAAGAAACAATAACAATGTCACAGTGGACTCTTTTCAGAATACCATACCTGTCTGCAGAACAGTTTCGGGATCAACAGATGGAAGAAAATTTAAGTCTATAGACCTTGAAATAGAAAAGTAAATCACTGTTAATTACTTGTAGAGAGAACAGGAATTACAGCCTTTAGATAGGACTGTATCTTATGAAAGTCTAAAAAATACCAAATATCACAACTTTCTCATTTCGCATTCTGTTATCTGTGTTTAAAGGACTCTCTATTTTGAGAGTTTTAAAAATCCTAAGAACATTTGTCTATTTCATTTTTGGGTACTATATTTTCTTTACAGTTACTTTTCAAGGAAGACACACGAGTAGGTATTAACAGCTTCAAAAAGATTATAAATAGCGCCCAGCTTTCATGTGTCTTGATGGGTCACTTCTACATAAATTATTTACCACAAATCAGTGGCAAATGGAGCCATTTGCTTTGACAGCACTGAAAACATATCAGGACCTATGCAGCCTTGGAGACATATTGATGCTCCATCACAGCAAAAGGTCATGGTTCAAAATGTAAGTGCTGGGATTCCCAAAGCCCTGCAAATACACTTTTTTACACATGATTATACTTTGAACAAATTCAGATTTTTTTTTAATTTTCAAATTACATATTCATAAAAAAACAAACATCTATAAACATGTGTATATGCATGAGCCAATACAATACTTCCTAACATCTATGCAATATTCGTATTTGGTTAGACTTTGAACAAATCAAACCCAGAAGTCATTCTTGAGACTGGAAAAGGCAGGCATCATTGCCATTTAAAACATGTACTCTTATAACTACCAGAGACTGAAATAATGGCTTGTAAAGAGACCTAGAAAAACAATGCAGGCTATCTCAGCTATACACGACTAGGAACAGCCTGGTCCTATCTCTCTCTCTCTCTCTCTATCTATCTATCTATCTATCTATCTATCTATCTATCTATCAACACACACACACACACTTTGAGCAATGCCCATATAATGCTTTGGATTTTAGAACCATCCTGACACTGCACAGGTGTGGATAGAGTCAGCATGTCATTTTTTAATTCTTTCTTCATGCGAAATGAGAAAGTTGTGATATTTGGTATTTTTTAGACTTTCATAAGATACAGTCCTATCTAAAGGCTGTAATTCCTATAAATTTCCATGTTATACCCAAGGCCCAATAGCAATTATCATCATCAACCCTAGCCCCTATATGCATATATAGAAGGATTAATCTAGTTGTTTGGTCCAAATAGGTTCACTGAGACAATGAAATTTTGTAGGTTCATGGGGTATACTTGGGATTACAAATGGATTTATGCCAGAGATTCAAATTTAGGAACACACATTTTGGTGCACAAAAACTAAAACCACTATTGCTTGCATTGCCGGTTTAGACAATCACACTAGCCTAGAAACCCAAATGTGTGTTTAGGTTATAAGCTTGATAAACTCTTTCCAACATTGAAAAGGCACAGAAGCATGAGTGAAGATTATGGCTAAGAGTTTCCTGTGACGATGCTAAGAGGCATAAGGATTCAAATTCCTAACTAGGCATATTTTTATATAAATACAAAGCATATTCCCAATTGCTGGCCTTGAAAAACAGTTGGGTCACGTACTGTGACTTGACTATACAGGATTCAGTTGCTCATTAAAAACAAAAACAAAAGCCAAGAATATCGATTACCTCTCTTTTTCCTGTTGGTTTCCTTTATCACTTCCACTGTTGATTAAAGTAAGTTCATCCAGCAATGACGTAGATTCCTTTGTAAATTTTTCAAATGTCTATATAAAATATTTATAGTTAGCACTGTTTTGATTATTGTAATATTCTACTTGAAGATCAAGTCCACTGTCCTATTCTGCCACTGACATTGTCAAATAATCTCTAAAGCGGTGGTTCTCAACCTGTGGGTCCCCAAATGTTTTGGCCTTCAACTTCCAGAAATTCAAACGGCTGGTAAACTGGCTGGGATTTCTGGGAGTTGAAGGCCAATACATCCAGGGACCCATAGGTTGAGAACCACTGCCTAAAGCAATAAACTGCTTCATCAAAGAAAGCATATTACGGCATAGACAAATAGCAAACTTAAAGAGGGAAGCTTGTTATTTTTAGAATGTCCGATACAAAAAATAATAATACAATGGCCTGAATCTTACTGATGGCCCCAACTACAGCGGATTTACTAAATCAGTGAGACTTACGTAAGAGTCAACTTTCTATTCAACAATGGCTTCAATGAACCTACTCTAGAACTCTTCTCTTTCCAGTATCTATCTTTTAAAGAAAACAAAGGCTGAATTTTCACTCATGACCATTTGGACAGAAAATGTCCTCAAGCTGGCAAAGCACATTTCACCTTCTGTTCATTCCAATAGTGCACTGAGTTGAATTGTACATCCTAACTTGGAGAAAGTTGTGCCAAATCTTAATACATATTAACATGACTTACAAAACCTGTCCCTGCATTTTAGCTTTCGTATTTTGCTATAACATTCTTGAAATTAAGCCCAATATCCAGTTTAAAACAATATTGCAGATATTATTTGAAAGAACCTCCAAACAATACTTATTGTGCTTTAATTCTAAAAGCCATCTCTGATTTTTTTCTCTCAATCACTTCAAAAACAAATACACCTAGATACATACTTTCCTAAAATGGACATACCATCCCCTACCTACACTTGTTACCTTTGGACCCAACAGGAAAGCCAGGCCCAAAGCATCAAACTATGAATCTTATCTTTAAAAGGGAATGCAAGCCATCAAGATGAGGCTCATTTTGTGTTAACATCTCATCAAGAGTACGATCGTGCATAGATTGGTAGATCTAATCTCGGCTATCACTGCTCCCAGACACTGGTTTCAGAATATCTAGGGCTTCTCTGGATCAGATGGAAAGGAAAGAGGTGATCCCTGTATACTGATTACAATCCAACTCAAATAGTAATAAATAATAATACATTTTATTTATACTCTGCCACCATCTCCCCAAAGGGACTTGGGGTGGCTAACAAAGCACTCCAAAGTGCTGCACATAAAATAAAAACTATTATAAATCTATAGGAAAAAGAAGTTCTACAGAGATGTTATACATCAGAGAAAACAAGACAGAAAGTATTGCAGACGAAAAGCAATGGGGCTGAGCCTCTGAAACCGATTTCTCAAAACAGAGTGAAACCTCCATAAGGCAATGCTCCAGAACTGATGAAATGCAGAAAGATGCCATGAGTTATTTATCCAAAACCAATGAACCAAAATGGATCTACGGTCAACTGTCTACATTCACTGGGGTTAGGGGCACAGGACCCTCGCTAAAGTGAGAAAAATAATAAAATAACATTCCCCCCCCCTTTTTTTACATCTCTCCAGAAACCTCTAGGTGCAACTCTATGGTCAACTCGTGCTGAAGGGTGATCATAAGAGTCTCCCTGGAGAACCTAGATATTCATAAGGAGACTATATTGCTCACATCCATGATCAAATCTGCAAAAGTTAAACTCGCAAATGTGGAGGGCTGACTCTACTCACGTACCCAGTTTCCAGCCAAGCAGGGAAACCCAAAAAACCCTCTACACCCAAAAATCACATCTGAAGCCAAACTGGAATGAGTCCTGGAAAACTATTTTAAAGGCTAATTATTTTAATCAATCTAATGATGCCATGCCTCACTCTTAAGTTATGCTAACATTGCCAGAATTGTACATATCTACAGTTTTGTAAATGTTTTAACTCCCATCTCCCATGAAAAACGCTACTGAAAGAATAAGACAAACACCTGCAAAAAAATCAACTAACCAGTCGCTTGTTTAGCCAATCCATATGATCATAGGTAAGACTTCCTCCAAAATCTTCTGTCAGCTGGCATGGTTCTATATATCGAGTAAGTTTGTTGGCGGATACTAAAATAACCTATGAATACATTAAACAGAGAGTGAAAAACATCTTAGATCTTTAAAGTACTAAACATTGTATTAAACTTTCAACCATAAGCCAGTTTTTTAAAAAATAATAATAGCTATTACAAAAATTTCTCCTTTCATATTGAAAAGCTTTTCACTCACAATAATGCTTCCTTCCTTAGTACTTAGGAAAGAAGAAACAGCCAATGTTTTGAATTGCAAGATGTCAATGTAATATTTTCTTTTCTTTAGTAATACACTCCTTTTCCATCATAAGTGGTTCTTGTCATAAAATCTTCTACTACTTCAGTTTATAAAGCATTTTGTAGAAAATTACTGATCTTAGTAACATGAATACTATTATTTCTAATTAAAATGTAATATTTATAAACAATATTAATTATTTATTGCAGTTTTTAACTACCTTTCCATGTGCTCTTACTGTTAGCACAATTTTCATTAGCTTTTCCAGTAGCACAGGGAAACGGTTTCTACGGTATATGGTTTTGCTGCAGCTGAAATAAGCAAGCTAAGTGTAGAGAGGGGTCTGGGAAAATATAGCTTTAGCTTGAATATAGCAACCGATTTAGATTTTTTTCCTTGCATGGTGATGGTCCATGCCATAAGCACGGCCAGAAGACATGCTGCACTGCTCTATTAAGCTCTCTTAATTTCTGGCAACGTACTCTAAGTGGCCATTAAACATTTTCTTTCACATATGACTTGATATTTAGAAACAAATAGCAAACTGCTGATAGAGATGTAATGTGTATTCTTCTACTTTTTTCAAACATCCAAAAAATTTTGAGGTTAGAGATTGAATATCTGGGAAGAACTGAAGTGTCTTGCAACGGGAAATCTTTTCCACCTGACATAAAGATGACTATATTTTGTGTTAAAATGGTTTGTTTCTGTAATAATAATAACAATAATAATAATAATTTATACCCCGCTACCATCTCCCCAAGGGACTCGGTGCAGCTTACATGAGGCCACGCCCACAGTACATCAGTAAACAAAAGCAGTAACAAAAACAATCCATACAAAACAATTAATATAAATCACATAAACAAAAAATAAACAATAAACAATAACAGTAACACACAAGCATTTAAAAAACCTATGGCCGGGCCAAATGTAATAATTTAAAATTTAAAAAATAACGCTGGGCATGAACAAGGTGGGATATAACTGGGATAGGTTTTTTCAAAGAGAGATGAGGGAACACAGTCAGTCCTAAATCATTGGTAAAGTGCATTTTGAGGGCATATTGCTGAGAGTTTTCCTTATTCTGGGAAGGCACACTGTATAGACATCTACTCATTTTCAGGCTGCTAGCAGTGCCTAACATATGAACTCCATATTATTCCCACAGTAATTTGATCACAACACTTCGATCACAATATCGGATTTCTTATATTTTTCTTCATATCTGCTTTTGATTTCTTTTTAAACCTCCACGGCATTTACACTTTTAACATCTCTATGGGCCTTTAGCCTTTCCGAGAGATTGTATGTTTAAACATGAATTAGCAGTCAAAAGAAGATGATAATGACAGAGTGATTTATCCTTTTATTACTGGACCTTAAAGGAAAACTTTAAAAATTGTATTAATTCAAACAGATTTTAAAAAATACTGGGTTGGACTACTCTTGTAATTATGTTTACCAATACCCTGAAGCAGCAAAAGTGAGTTTAAGCAATTGTCTTTATTTCAAAGACTGCATTGAAAATTCCTATTTTTCCTACTTTTTTACTCTAATTCTAAGCCCATGCTAGCCTGTATGTCCTATTAAAAAGGTATGCTTTTTCCCAATTAATGCAGAGATGATAAAATATATCCACAGATGAATTTCAGTTAGACACCATGCTGTTTTTAAAAAACAATTCCCATATTGTTCAGGCACATTGCCTAAGGCAATAAAAGCCGTTTTCTGGTTTCATCCACCCCTTGTATCCACATTTCAAAGCACAGAGCAAATCTCTCCTAAGAAATCACATTAATGACCATAATTATATCAGGGTTTTGCCTCACCAACAGAGAGGCATTCAAACCCTTCCATGAATTTAGATTTCACTTTCCCTGTATGTAAACATTCTTTTAGCGTTCTTCTTTAGCTTCATTATTTAACCTAAATAAGATAGGGAGACACACACACCTGGGTACAAATGGCTTATTTGGCTACAGATGAGGATATCATATCAGTGTATTGTAAAAAGATTAAACATCCTTAGAGACGAGAGACAAAACAGGGCAGATGTTAACAGGGATGAAATAGCATCCATAATTTATGCCTGAGGTTTCTCATTTCCCTTTGGATTCCTATGCCTGCCCCATGGAGCTATTCGTGGCTAGCAAGAATGGTCGTATAGGGATGAACCCTATTTTAATTTCTCTCCATCCTGCTGCATCAAACTGATACAAATTTTCTACTCTTAATGAAATTCTGATTGGTAGCAACATTTTTAACCTTGAAAGGAATGCAAACTTTATTAACTATACCATTATCATAAGAGGGCTCTACAGAAAACCACAACATTGGGAATAATTCAGCTAACTTCACATACTGGACAGCCCTATGGAAACCACTGAGAGATATTAAGCAAATGCTTCCACTGATATCAACGGAAAAGCAGAACATTTAACTTTAGATAATATACAATTATCACAGATTTACTTAAGATTAATAATAATTGTGAAAAAAGAATGTAACATTTCTCACACATTTCTTGCAAATACAAAAATGCACATATGAACCAGATCTTGCATTCTTCTTCCTTACTGCAGCATTCTAGCTTCCAGAAAGTGTCACAATTCTCAGAATAACTGGAGTAGGTAGGGGCTAGCGCGGACATGGGCAAATTTTCTAACTTGGGGGCCACATGGCGGGCTGGAGGGGCTGGGGCCGGGTGGGGATTCTCTCCAGTCAAAGCACTCCCAATAGAGAGGATCTGTTGAAAAGCCTCCAGAGAAGGAGACTCCACCACACTCCCAGACAGCTTATTCCACTCTCCAACAGTTCTTACCCTCAGGAAGTTCTTTCTAATCTTTTCAGTCAAATCTCTTTCCTTGCTATTTGAACCCATTGCTCCCTTGTGCCCTGAGCCCTAGAGCAGCAGAAAGTTTTCCCCTCCTCAGTGTGACACACTTTTAAATCTTTAAACATGGTTCTCATGGTTCCTCTCAACCTTCTCTTCTCCCAGCTAAACATGCCCAGCTCCCTCCGCTACTCCTCGCTGGGCTTGACTTCCAAACCTTTGACTATTTTGAGTCCAGGAAGATGCTCTGCCTGAGGCTGAGGTCATCTGTGGCTGCTAATGCTAATGCTAATAAGATGGTGTGAGAGAGGAGGATCTGAGAAAAGAACCCAAGGGGCTGCATCCGGCCGCCAGGCCAGGGTTTACCCATACCTGGACTAGAAGGTTGCAGTGAATCTGGAATTGGAAACAAAATTTCTAGTGTTTTATATTAGTGCATAGTCACCATCCAACAATCTTGTATATGTCAAGTCTTTAGCATTGTGCATACATGAAAAGGTACATGTTACTTTCTAGTTTTATGGACCTTTTAATGTAAATTAAACATGAATGAGTGATGTGTGAAATAATGTTTTCAAGCAAGTCAGTGAGATATTTCCTGAAATATATAAAAATAAATTTCTACTTAACAGGCAGGAAGTCTTATAGCATTTTATACTTACTCTTCTTTGAATACAGAAAAACCTAAAATTGGTTTATATTTTTATCACGTCTTGGCTTCCAATACTTCACATGTTTCCGGCTTCAAAACCTAAATCTTTTAAACCTAATTCTACCATATTCATGAGATTGGAAATAGGATGGATTTCTTGCCTTCATAAAACTTTCAAAGGGATAATTCAAGATTTTTGTATTTAAAAGCAGTTTTTTTTAAAAAAATTAAAAACTACATGGAAATATATCAAAAATTGGGAGGCAATTTTGAAAGAAGCTTCAAGAAAGCAGACCATTCAATTCTCCATGGTCATTGAACGTTCTCTTTCTCTTCAGTTCCTCAGACAATATCTATAGATGAAACAATACCATATTTAAAAGTTCTATCCAATGTCTTCCTCTTGAAAAACCAACCACACGGGACATGAAAGAATGGGAAATTAAATGAAAAGACCATGCATGTTTTAATCTGAGTTTAGGTAACCGATTCTGAGTAGTAGAATTGAACTACACGGTCAGCAACAAGTGAACTATGCTGTCAAACAAAAACCAAGGCACAATCCATGTAATAAACTTGTGAGTTCAGACAGGTGGTGAGCAGAAGTGATTGTAATCAAGAATGCCAACATCCATGAGAGAAGACAGAGGTCCAAGGAGGCCATCGGCTCAAACGGTGGGCACAACAGTTGTTTGAGGACCAGGTCAAGGCTCTAGCCATGGGCCGGGAGTTGAGATGGAAGGTGAAAGTTTTTGTAGCTTTGTAGGAAGGTCTTTATTATGTGAGAAAAAGGTAAGCCTTGTTGTTGGATGTGTTACAAGACAGCTGCAAGGTAGGCCTTAATGGAAGTGAGTGTCAGGTTATTGTTAGAGAGGGTGAGATTTGAAGACATCCCGGGTGGGTGCTAAGGAGAAGGTCCAATTCCTCTTCAAAGGAAAGGCAGAAAAACGGGAGAGCTTATATGAGTATGATCTCTCTGTTGCTGGCTAATGGGCTGCTCACAGTATGGCCTGTAGATTAGCCTGTCCATCAGCCCTGGACCGTGAGATGTTCACAGTGGTCACCCCATCTGAAAGTTGACATACCTGTTGTGATGATCATTAAAGGTTGGGTTTGTGGAATGGGACTGCCCTGCAGATATTGCATTGCAGGGTCCATCATGTTAGGAACTGGAGAATTGACCTCGATATGAACAGGAATTTTGAGTTGTGCTCTGTGAGCATTTCAAAATTGTTGAGGAACCAACATTATAGTGGATGCATATTGAGTCGAGCATTCAGTATCAGAGCTACTATTGAGGCCAGTTTCCTAGTGTCTT